TATAGTGACCCGTGTTACCATAGTGTGTGCAAATTTTATTCTTAGGGAGTGTGAAATACTTGCTTTTGGGATCCCACTTAGGTGTAGAGTTTCCAAAGCCAAGTCCTCTTTTATTGCTACTATGGTATTCTTGTAGCCACGAAAGTGCATCATAGGACCTGATCCATTTACATGTTCTATCTAAATCATGCTTAACCTTAGTCAAGTCCACCTTTAGGGTTCTTACCAGTTTATCCCTTTTATAAAGCTTATCTTTTACCTTTCCTAGATCCTTTTATAGTGAGAGTTGTGTGTTACTAGCTATTTCTTTACCTGTTCCTAACTTCAATTTCAGATTTTTAGAACTAAGTTCTAAGACAGATTTATCAAGTGCATGGACCTGGTTCTTCAAAGCAGTATTTTCCTTTTCAGTTTTATAGATATTTATTTCCAGGTTTTTGCATTTTGCTTTTAAAAAGTTACACTCTTTTGACAACTGTTCTTTTACAGAACTTATATTTTTGGATTCATAAATTAAAGTTAGCAACAATTCTGATAGTCTATCTTTAGAAAGGAGTTTAATTTTATCCTTAAGGTCTAGAAAACTTATCTCATATTCTTCATCAGGTTTATCTTCAGATTCTCGAATTGCTATGAGAGCTCGTTCAACATTATCATCAGTGTCCTTATCTGGACTATCTTTCCAAGTAGAAACCGTTGTTTTGGATGACCTTTTGTTGTAGTTCTTGTCATGAACATGTTCCTTCTTTCAGATTTCTCCTTTTTCCACTCGACTTTCCACATAGGACAGTTCTTGATCATGTGGTTCTTTTTACCACATTTGAAGCATCCATCAGTCATCTGCAAGTGATCTCGTCATCTCTCCTTCCACAAAGAATAATAGTGATCCTTGAATTGTGGTGGCCTAGTGGTGGATTACTCTTTGAAGTTTCCAGGTAGTGCACTTATCTTGATCTGTTTCTAAGGTGTTAGCCTTTTCAAGGATAATCTGCTCTGATACCAATTGATATTTTATACTTGAATACCACACAATATGAGGGTGATTTGTGTGGTGTCTAATTTTTCGCGTGCACAGATTATAGAAGGAACTGGTTCTTCTATGTGTTCCTTACACTACAATTGCGGAATAAATAATGCAGAAAGTAAAGAACACAATGATTTTTACGTGAAAAACATCCGGCTTAAAAGGTGAAAAAACCACGACCTACTATCCAGTAGGATTTTTCCAAACACTTCAGTACAACTCTGAGCCAACAACAAAGTTTACAAACTGTTGCAAACCTAAAGATTACCTCTAACCCTTGTAGTAACACGCCACAAGCTGTTGCGGCTCCTTCAAGTTAACTCTAACTTGAAAGTTAGAACTCAGGTACCTAGTACAATTTGCTTCTAAGAAAGCTGAAAGGTACAACTCAAAACACCTACTACACTTTGAACTAGAAATAAAGAAAGACACATGAAACTCTTTATGGAGCTGGTTCTTCAATCTGGTTCGTGTAGCTTTAGGATCGCATTCTTAAATCTTACAGGAATTGCTCACAAAATGCCTTGCTATTTTGCTCTCAATTCGTGCTTAACTTAGTATGTGTGCATCACCTGTAAAAACGAATACAACTGATATATATAGAGTTAGTAAATAAAGATTAACTAGAGTTCTAATGCTTTACTCTTCCTTGGTGGAAGAGTTCTAGTCAACTTCAACTTCTAACTCTTCCCTTATCTTGAATATAGTTCTCTTCAAGTAAGGAGTCCTGCTCCTTATCAAATATGCAACATTTTCGTTTAGGGAATATCAGATATAACCACTTATACTTATCCTTTTCATGCGCATGCCTTTTGCTTGATTCTTCCCGTCACCTGTGTACACTGTCCATGGACCTGGTTCATGCATGTGTTCTTTGTCAATCATCAAAACCAAACCGCTCAGGTTAACACAAATACAACCCTGTAAAGTGGCTACCTGGTGTCATTTCTACTCAGAAAATATTCGGCAATGTTGTTATCAAAACTGTATTTTTGTAAAATTAATAAAACAATAAAGTTTCTGAAAAAAAAACAGAAACAAAAAGTTAGTAGAACTAGAACGTCAAAATAAATTCTGAAAACAGTTTAATAACTTCAAAATAAATTCTGAAAAATGGTATAGGAATAAATCGAGCCCACTGAATACACAGTGTGTCCTTAAGGAAATTATTCCCCTCAAGTACCCGAGGTTCTGGAATATATCCTCCTAGGATAGAACGATTTAACTCACCAGCGTATCGGTACCAAAAACGCAGATGAACAACGAACCACTCGAAGATTGTAAAACAACTGGAATTTTTGTGCAGAAGAAGAAGAAGATAATCAGAAAATTTCGTAAGTAAATATTCTGGGATTTGAAGGAATATTTATAGCCAATTTGGTACTGTTTCTGAAAAGGTTTGCCACCTTTTAGAAAACAGACATTGAATTTTCCTTAATTAATTAAATATTTGAAAAGAATTTTGTCCAAAAAGATTAATCAATCAATCTTTGACCGAAGCCGAAGCCGAAGCCGAGCCGAGCGACGACGGTGCGAGACTTGCCTTCTTCTTAGCTTTTTAAGAGTTAAAAGATGAGCTTCTCTATATACACACGAAGATTTTTTTTTCCTTCTACCAATGAGGGACAAAGTGCATTACTAAAGTGAACTAATTCAAAATTTCACTTCACTCCATTTCTTTTTCCACCATTTTCCATTCACACCTCTTTTATTATTAATAACAAATAAAACCCAACAAATGTTGCCAACCCTTGCTGAGGTAGTTATGTGAAGAGTTGTCTTACTATGTTTTTTCCTCCCTGAAAACTGCATTTTAGACCGTAAGCAAAACAGTTCTCATTTCATGTGATGATATTAGCTTTGATAGCTGAAGGTTTTGTTTTTAGCTACCGGGAAATGTTTATACCTGATTGCTAACTTTGCATAGTGGCCTGGTTGAATTTTGCTGCGATATGAATCGTGATGTATCAGTTTTCTGAGTTCAATTTTATTTAACATGTCGTGTTAAACAACTTTTGTTTTGGACAGTCATAGGATATTTACTGGGTGTACATATCACCGGCCAACTAATGCAAATTAACAATTAATAAAAGCATAATATATCGGGACCCTAACTTGACACATTTTATTTAATACATACCTAAATTAGTTATGATCTTCATTACCCCCTTTAACTTCGACCCTGAATGACCTCAGTCAAAGGAAGAATGATGTATTCACTGCCACATGGATACTTTTTGTCCACATGGCATGTTTGATAATAGAAAATTATATTATTATCTTTATAAATTCGTAATCATTTTAAAAAAATCTTTTCTCGCCAAATTTGTCAAAAAAAACATGTTTGGAACTTCATTATATATTAGGCCTTTTTTGGGTAAACATAACGGAGCTTCACTTAAGGTTTTTTCCAACTTTAGAGATATAAGTTTTATTTAATGATTGTGATGTATAAGTCGCATTCACTACTTACGATTTCTAAGTTGATTAACTAAATGTGATTTATAAGTCGCATTCAGCGCTTGCGATTTATAAGTTGCGTTTGCCGATTGCAACTCACTCGCACATGCAGATTGAAATTTATGTCGCTTAAGCTGCATACGCGCGCGGATTGTGATTTACAAGTCGCATATGTGGATTGCGATTGCATCCGTGGAATTTTATAAGTGACCACATACCTAATAATAGTCAGGTAATATACTACTCAATAGAATATTTCTTGAGTAAAACCAAAATTCCTCCTCTTTTAACATTCTTCAGTAGAGTTATTCAGAATCCTGGAAATAAAATGAAGAAGAAATGCAAAACTTGATACCAAATTAAGAGCACAGAAAATACCAAAAGAAATTAGAAAAAAATAAACTTCATCGTTTTTAACAAAGGAAAATACAAATATATCTCTCACCCAAAGAGAAAAGTTCAGCAAAAATCCCACGTTAATATTTTTTCCAACTTTAGAGATATAAGTTTTTAAGCCTCAATTAATGATTGTAATTTATTAGTCGCATTCGTTGCTTGCAATTAATAAGTCGCCATTCACTAAATGGGATTTATAGGTCGCATTCATTAATGATTGCGATTATAAGTTGCATTTGCTGATTGTGACTCACTCGCACATGCAGATTGCAATTTATGTCGGGTTGCATTTTAAGTCGCATATGCTGTTATCCGTGGAATTTTATAAGTGACGACATACCTAATAATAGTCAGATGATGTACCACTCCGTCACTTGAGTAAAACTAAAATTCCTCCTATTTTAACATTATTGACTCTTGAGTAGAGTTATTTAGAATCTCAAAAATAAAATCAAGAAGAAATGCCAATCCTGACACCAAATTAAGAGCACAGAAAATATTATATTTGAAGAAATCAGAAAAAAAAAACTTCATCGTTTTTAACCAAGGAAAATACAAATCTCTCACCCGAAGGAAACAAATTCCACAAAATTCCGACGTTAACATTTTTTTTCCAACTTTAGAGATATAAGTTTATAAGTCTCATTTATGATTGTGATTTAGAAGTCACATTCGCTGCTTGCGATGTATAAGTCATCATTCACTAAATGCGATAGTCGCATTCACCGATTGCGACTTTTTGCTACGAGTTATAAATCACATTGCAGTCCTAAAATATCACCATTTTGTGTTCAGTATCAGCTGAGCTTAGCCTACAAAGTAAAAAAGAAGGGAATGATGCATCGGGGAAATTCGGATTTTGTGAAGGGTGGAAGTTGCCCTCTCTGTTATGTTCGTGGTTTCTCCTTTGATTAAAAAAAGAAAAGAAAAAGAATGCTGTGAATGGGATGTGAAGATTGCTTTCCTCTTTAGGCTATGTTAAATCATTGCATTGCGAAAATATCCAGACTCCTATTTTGGAGGATGAGCCGGTATGGCTTTGGACAACAAACTGATGTATGGGTACGCAAAAAATTTTATAAGCGTCGTCGAAATTTAGTTCATAATTACAAAAATAGTAATGATTTTCATGGAGTCTTAAGAATTAAATTGATTAACAATCCTACAGTTAACACGGATTTCACCAGTTGTTCCAGTTGGTGGTGCCAAGCTTCCCATTTTGAGCATGGAGTTTTTGAAATCCTCAAAAAAAGCAGATGGAACATCCACATAAGTTTGCACTATTTCTCTAGTATTGCCATCCCCAGTTGCTAAGACCTGGTCTGAAACAAGCAACCCTTTTCCTGAGAGAAGGTTAACGTAGTACTGATTGTCGAACGTTGATGGTGTCATGTCATCAAGATTTGCTAGTGTTGTGTTTGTATCAGAAACTGAGCACAGTTGCTGCAGTGACTGCAAGAAATCCAAGTTCATGTCTGAATTGCTACCCCCATTTAGCCTGGAACTAAATGTTGAACATCTAGCCCTTCCAATTGTATGTGCACCTTCAATATAATAAACATTAATTAGTCTTACATTTATTTTTAGACCGCGATAAGTTAAATTAATATAATATCATATAGCCCTTCAAATTAAGTTTACCAGAGAGAGTGACCATATCTTGAAGAGAAAGACCAATGTTTTGAAAGTTGGAAACAAGGGTGGCAACATTAGAGTTTGGTCCAGGAATGTTGTTATTTGCTGCTTTTCTGCTAGCTGTTAAGCTATCCTTTCTCCCCATTTGCACTTGCCACCCCCAACCACCTGACTGCAATAATTATATTGGAGTTGCATGCATTATTGGAAAAGTTCTGAATTACTTATTTGTTAGTAGTAAAAGGGCAGTCCGGTGTAATAAGCTTCCGCTATGCGTAATATCCGGAAAAGGGCCGGACCACAAAGGTCTATTGTATGCAGCCTTACCCTGCATTTCCGCAAGACCGATCGAGGCTGTTTCCACGGCTTAAACCTGTGACCTTCTGGTCACATGACGGCAACTTTATCAGTTACCGCCAAGGCTCCCCTTCTTATTTGTTAGTAGTAAATGGAATAATATAATACCATAACAACAGAATCTCTAGCAGCAATAGCAAGAATATCAGCACAAGATACAGTCTGGGGACAAGCCAATTCTAAATCAGCTTTGATGGAATCAATCACTTCAAAACCCCTCAATGAGTTCAAGTTTGGGGCAGCTGTTTTCTCTCCAGTAAAATTAGGGGTATCGTCCAGCAGTAATGATGCATCACATCCCTGAAATGCTTTTACATATGGAATATTATTTAACATAAAATATACTATTCAAATAAAAAGGAAAAAGAAAAAGTGGACTTGCATTAACGAAGCAGTCGTGGAAATGAAGACGAAGCAAAGAAGCAGCCATTCTGGGGTCTTGAGACACTGCTCTTTCCACCCATGAATATATGATAGCTTCAGCTTCTGGGCAGCTGTTTTGGTACAAACCAAAACTTAATACGATGGTTGCATCATCAATGCATGTTTTGTTGCGAACACTATTTCCACTAGCAGATGTTATTGAAAAACTCAGTACCATTATGCAGAAAGAAGCTAAGTAGAAGGAAGCCATTGTATTCCTAAATTTTTTATGGCAAGTTATGGTTGTTAAGTTAATAATAAGGAGATAGTGAAAGTTGAGGCCTTAAATAGAGAAATTGGTCACTGTTAGAAAGAGGGAAAAAGAGAGAGCAGTTGAGAAGAAGACATAGTCTTAAGTATAATGAGTCAAATAGAGAAATGAAGATTACATGCATGGGAGGTCCCATGGTTTATAACAACCCACCTAATACCAACTGATTTACGTGAGGTATGCATGGAGAGACTAATTCTCATTCAACTTACAGTATGGACGTGGCTGGCTATAGCTATAGAATTCCCTTCAGTAATCCCATGGATGCACTGCTTTTTGGGCAAACAATGTCGCTTGTGTGTTTCCTCATAAATTAAACCTTTAATCTGCTTTTTCTAAAGACAGTTGTTGGGTGCAACCAATGTTTTCTACTGTGGTCAAAGAAACCAGTTATATCCTTGTTTGGTCTTTCTCTTTTGGAGTATGAGAATTTGCAGAAGGTTTTATCACAAAAGATAGACTCATATGGTTTCCTAATGCATGTGCTCTTCCTATGCGTAGGGAAATATCCGTTCTTAAAACTAACACAGGCTAAAGTAATATATAAGAGTTTTTGACTAAAATTGTCCCTTATTTATGGGAATAGGTCTATTTTTGTCCTCAAATATAACTCAGAGCATCTTTAATCCCTTAACTTTGCTAAGGTGGAGCATCTTTGGTCTTACTAACAGACCCATGTTGAAAACTAACGGTGTTATCCCCTGTGACTCTCACGTGACTGTAAAATACTGAACCCACGATGAAAGACTAAGAGGGTGTTTGGCTAACCTTATAAGCTGGTCAAACTGGCTTATAAGCATTTTTTGGCTTATCTACGCGTTTGGTAAATACCCAAAGTACTTCTAAGCCAGGTGCTTATAAGAAAAAATCAACCATAAGTCATAAGTTGGTCACCCCCAACTTATGGCTTTTTAGCTTATAAGCACTTTCAGAGGTGGATCTTGGATTTGAAGGATGCGGGTGCCACTATATGTATATATATAGATGCACATACCTACCACTAGCCAAAAAGACCGAATAGGAAGAATGAATGATTCAGTTAATTTTTAGTTAATCCAATTAGGTCTTTTATTTAAAAGAGGAAAATAAGTTCGATTTTAGTTCAATTTTTTTACGCTTGATTTACTAATTTCTAGATAAAAGGTCAAAAAAAATATTTCATGAAAGTACGGCTGCAATTAGAAAATTTTCTTAAAGAGTAGCTTAATTACTATATAATTTTTGTTTGATTTGATTAATGATCATTATTCTTGGGGTTAATTTTTCTAATTTAATTGTTGCGTTATATGACAATTATTTCTAAAGCCAAAATTTTAAAGTTATCAATCTATGAGAACCAACTTAAAACCTCAATTAATCAAGACATTTTTTTCAAAAGTGTCACGACCCAAAAATCCCTCCGAAGGAGTCGTGATGACACCTAATCTCTAAACTAGGTAAGCCTAACATAAACTGAAATAACATTGATGCTTACTAACTTTAAATTAACCAACTCTAAATAAATCAAAATTTTCAAAACCGGTGGTACAAGTCACAAGCCTATCTAAGAGTAATTTCACAAAATAATACATCACTGCCCCGAAACAAAGGAGCAAATGGAAGTAAATACAAATAAAGGTGACTCCGAGACCCGCGAACACTATAGCAGATTTACCTTGAGTCTCCACCGCGACGACCCGCATAGCTACTATCAATCCACCTGGATCTGTATACAAAAATGTACAGAAGTGTAGTATGAGCACACCACGGCGGTGCCCAATAAGTATCAAGACTAACCTCAGTGGGGTAGTGACGAGGAACAGTCAGGACACCTACTAGTAAATGAAATGAACAGGATATGATAATAAAACATCAAGATAAAGATAACGAAGTGATATCAACAGCGGAGAGAAAATCCAAGTACAAACAGTATAATCAATAAAGGGAGAACACAGATGGTAACAAACGGAAACCAAGTAAATCAGATAACCCAAGCAATTCAATACTGACGTAATAGAGACGGAGACAAGTAAGAATATATCCAATTAAAGAAAACAATATCAACTCAATCAATCACATCATGTTTAATACACCATCCCGACCATTTCAATCCTCGATTTCTCATATAATAGTCTCAACTTTCGAACTTTCAGCACAAATGGTACCTCGTGCCCACAATTTTTTCCATCTCACTCTTAACAATAAAATTCACATGATATACAATACAAAATGTCTATACAAATGCACTTAAGATGTTCAAGAAGTCCTATTTACATAATATAAATTAAATTTCAATTTCTAAATAAGTTTGGAAAATCGGCGAGAAAAGATGAAGTTATTTTTAAAAATCATTCGAGTAAGAAAGTACCCCTTTCAATTTAAAATACAACATCGGAAGAATTATTACTTTTAACAGGGGAGTTGATAACTTAAAACTTAGTAGAAATTTCTTTTTAAGAAAAATACAACCTCAGACGGTTTAAGGGGATATAATTGAGAAACTAATTCAATTAAGGATGCAACAATTATTGAAGTTTGAAGTATTGGAACGTATAAATAAATATATATAAATACGGTGAGGTATTAAAAACATAGTGGGTTCTAAGACAAGGATCACAACAATAAAGGAATTAAACAGTTTAAACATTTGAATTGATAACAACAAATAAACACAGCAGCAGAAAGTGCACGGCATCACCCTTCGTGCTTTTACCCTCGTTCTCACCATAAGAATCAACTTTTATTCTTTCTTGTTGTGGCGTGCAACCCGATCCCAATCATATAGTACTGTTGCGGCGTGCAACCCGATCCAAAACATATAATATTATTGCGGCGTGTAACCCGATCCAAATCATATAATGATGTTGCGGCGTGCAACCCGATACATATAATATTGTTGCGGCGTGTAACCCGATCCATATAATATTGTTGCGGCGTGCAACCCGATCCACATAATATTATTGCGACGTGCAACCCGATCCATATAATATTGTTGCGGCGTGTAACAAATCCCAATATACCAATCAACACCAATCACGACATAATCCCAGCAAGGGAATAATAAAGAAACAACAGTATCCCGGCAAGGGAGTCAACAACAAGAATAAACACGTCTCGGCAAGGGAACCAACAGTAAGAATTAAATATGTCCCGGCAAGGGAATCAACTATTACCAAACTTGTACCAATAATTAACTTCACAATGAAACCTCAACTAAACAACAAGACATAATAAGCATGTGATAACTACACCGACAACAACAATCAGACATGTAACCTATTTGCACGAAGTCATAGAGGAACTCACAATCAAGAAGTATCAAAACAATAAGGAAGGCAATCACTTCAATTAAGGCAATTAAGGGTCAATGTACCACGTAAGAATTAGAGGAAAGCTAACAACGTCATATGGAGCATATATAGGCAATTTAAGCAACTAGGAAACTCAATCATAATAGGATACTTTCCACATAAGGACCTAAGAAGCTAGAGCATATTTTTCACAAATAAATCCGAGCACACACTCGTCACCTCGCATGCACGGACTACAATTGGCAAAGAGGACTAAATACTAAGGGGAAGTCCCCCACACAAGGTTAGGCAAGATACTTACCTCAAAGACGACAACCCGGTACTCTAAAATGGACTTCTCAGTTAAAAAGACCTCCGGGCAGCTCAAATCCAACTATAACAACTCCAAAACACACATAAATCGAATAAAGAACTACTCCGAATAATAAAGTTTCAATCTTTACAAAAATATAAAAATCGGCCCAAAAGTTGACCCCCCGAGCCCGCACCTCGGGACCCGTCAAATTTTACAAAAATCCGATCACCATTAAAAAATGAGTTCAACCATACAAAATTTATCAAATTCCGATAACATTTGATCCCTCAAATCATGATTTTCCGTTTTGAAATTTTTCTTCAAAAACCAACTCTTTCCCCAACTCAAAACACAATTTAAATGATAAAAATAAAGACAAATTCATGAAATATATTTAATTCTAGTTGAAGAACACTTACCCAATCGAATTTCGTGAAAAACCCACCAAAAATTGCCAAGAACTGAGCTCTAGAAGTCAAAATATGATGAAAATTGTGTAACTCTCGATTTTGGAATATGTTCTGTCTGCCCAGGTGTTTGTTCATTGCGATCACGGGAGAAGTGATGCGATCGCGTAGCAGAAATTAGCTACTGGCCCAAAATGTTTTATGCGATCGCGGGAAAATCAATGCAATCGCATAGAAGGAAAATGCTACTGTCCAAATTTGTGCTATGCTATCGCCGACAAATCAATGCAATCACATAGAAGGAAAATGTTGCAGTCCAAATTTGTGCTATACTATTGTGGGAAAACCAATGCAATCGCATAGAAAGAAAATGTTACTATCCAAATTTGTGCTATGCTATCGCGGGAAAATCAATGCGATCGTATAGAAGGAAATACCAGATAGCAGAACAACAATTCAAACATAGGAAAAAATGACCCGTAGCCCATCCGAAACACATCCGGGACTCCCGGGACCTCATCTAATCACACAAACAAGTCATATAACCTAACACAAATTGGGTCGAGTTTTGAAATCACATAAAACAATAGCAAAACAACGAATCAAACCAAAAATCAAACTTATGAATTTCCAAATCTTCAAATATCAAATCTCATGCCGAAACTTATCAATTCAACTCTGAACAACGCCAAATTTTGCAGACAAGTTCAAAATGACATAACGGAGCTGCTCCAACTCTCGGAATCATATTTTGACCTCGATATCACAAAAGTCAACTATGGGCCAAACTTCTACATTTTCCAAACTTTAACTTTTCTAACTTTCGTCGAAATGCCTCAATCTATCCTACAGACCTCCAAATCCAAATCCGGATGTGCGCCTAAGTCCAAAATAAACACAAAAAGCTGTTGAGATCATCCACAACCCATTCCGGAGCTGTTTACCCAAAAGTCCAATTCC